GGCGGCCTCCTGCACGCCCCTCACTGGGGGTCGAGCCTGCACCCCGGGCCTGTGCCCTGACGGGGAATCGAACCCTGACCTCCTGGCTCATAGGTCAGCCAGTGAGCTGCGCCGGCCGGGCTGCTGTGTCACCCCTGACGACACCTGGTGACCCGGCGAGAGAAGCTCTGGTGTCCCCTGAGCCCCCGGAGTCAGTCCTGGGGACGCAGGAGGGAGAGTGGCAGCCCTGAGGGCGGCGGCAGGCGGGGTGCGGGGCTCAGCTCGCTGGTGAATAAAGGCCCCACAAGCCCTGGGAGCGGCCGGTTCCCAAGGCTCCGGGAGACCCAGGAGGAACAGAGGTTCCAGGACAACGAGTGAAAATGTCCGCCGTGGCCGCGCCAGTGCCCTGGGCACGGGATCCCTCCCCCGGACCACAGAGCCTCAGTGTGGGGGGGCCTCAGTGTGGGGGCCTCAGTGTGGGGGGGCCTCAGTGTGGGGGCCTCAGTGTGGGGGCTCTGTGTGGGGGGCTCTGTGTGTGGGGGGCCTCAGCTGGGGGTGCAGGATGGGAGGCCCGGGCCCGGGAGGTGCTCTTTGCAGCCTGCATCATCAGCTGACCGCCCCCGCTCTGCTGCCGCCGCCGCTCAGGTGCCCTGGTGTGAGGCGCTGATGGGAGTGGCTCCTCCGCCATCCGAGCGCCGTCCACCTGGTTGTCATGGAGGCCGAGCATCTAGACCAGGGGTCCTCAAACTACGGCCCGCGGGCCACATGCAAATACAAATATTGTATTTGTTCCCGTTTTGTTTTTTTACTTCAAAATAAGAGATGTGCAGTGTGCACAGGAATTTGTTCATAGTTTTTTTTAAAACTATAGTCCGGCCCTCCAACGGTCTGAGGGACAGTGAACTGGCCCCCTGTTTAAAAAGTTTGAGGACCCCTGGTCTAAACAGAAGCAGAAAAGCCGTCCATCGTGTTTGTTCAGTAAACGAGCCTTTCGCATCCTCGCGCATTTAAAATATCCGCTTTTTTCTCTTTGATTCCTAAGAATGCGTTGTTATAAACATGAACTTCTGAGCTGTCACAGCAGCAGAGCCTGTGCCGGGTTTGGCGGATCTGACCTTGTCTGTGTTCCTTTCTCCACCGTTTGCGTCACATGCCCGGCAGCTGCTGGTCCACCCGCTCGCGAGGGCCTGTGGGTGGAGCTTTCGGCGGCTCAGATCCACCTCGTGTCAGGGCGTCTCCCTTCCCCGCGGTCAGGAAGGTGCACGCGTTCTATGTCAGCGTCACTTCTGCTTCCCCTCCTGACCCCCTTTCACGGCTCATCCCATTGGAATTCATGTCCTTTCTGTTATTTTTCATGAGTTTTCCCACGTGACTTCCTGTGGGCCCATCCTCCCTCCCTCCCTCCCTCTCTCCTTCCCTCCCTTTCTTCCTGTTAATCCTTACCTGAGGATGTTTTTCCCATTGAGAGAGTGAGAGGAAGGGAGGAGAGAGGGAGAGAGGGAGAGAGAGAGAGAGAAACATCGACTTGAGAGAGAGACATCAATGGGTTGCCTCTTGCACGTGCCCCGACCGGGGCCTGGGACCGAACCTGAAACCCAGGTACATGCCCTCGATGGGGCTGAACCTAGCCTCCTTCAGGGCGCATCCGATGCTCTGACCACGGAGCCACTGGCCCATCCTTTCTCACGTGGGCTGTGAGGGGCCCCCTGTGCCCAGGCCTCGCGTGTGGTCGCCGTGGCCCTGGCCTGCTTCTGCGGTTTCGTGTGCCGCACGCGGTTTTCTGCGCTTCTCCTTGCCTGTAGAATCACTGCCCCGTGTCAGCGTTTAGAACCACGGTCTTCCGTGGCCCCCGTATTTATTTGGGGACCTGTAGTTTTGTGGTTGCGTGGGTGGCCTCCTTTTCTCATGGCCGACAGGCGCCCTGGCCGCGTTGTTCCCCGTCACCGGGGAGTGAGAGGGGTGCTGTGGTTTTCCGCGCTGCTGATACCTGCGACTCAGCAGGGGGCGGTCCTCCTCTGGTCTGCGTCCAGTTGGCTCGGGGTGGTGGGCAGGTGCTCCGGGGGAGCGGGACCACAGGACCCACAGGGAGAAGGGTCCG